GTGTTAAAACAATTGTTTTAAGGAGAAAAATTTTAAAATGAAGAGAAAGCATAAGTAAAATGTTAATATTACTATTAAAATCATAAAACTCTTGCAAAGGTCTTAAGAAAATAGCACCAAGAAGAGGTTCATGTTCCTTAAAACAATGAAAATGTTGAAATTATTGAAAATATTGAGACGTCTATAAGTCATTGTTATCCTAAAAGGAGAATTGATCCAAAATGAAATTATTATTAATAATTGATACTTTAATATATCTCTCAAAATAAGTATATCCTATGATATAACATGTTTTAAAAAATTAATGGTGAGATTTTATCATATGATTGACTTGAAGTCTTTAGAATGAAATTAAACATATTTTCTTCAATTTCAAGGGACAAATGTTATATGATTATTATATCCAAAATAATCAAAATTCAAGTTAATAAGATATGTTGATTGTGAAAATTTATTATATCCACATAAAATATGATGACAAATATAGTACTTATACACATATATTAAGATTATTAAATCCACAAATAATTTAGAAATATATTGCTCTTTGAGAATGTCTATGAAAAGAGATATAACATGTGCAGTAAGAATGTAGGCTATACCATGCAAAATAATGATACAAGGATTATACAAGTAATTGATGGTTATGTTAAGTGAGATAAAACCAATGCATATCTCATTAAAGTTTTTCTTTATATATGAACTCTTAAAGACAAGTGAAACAATGTTTATCAAATTTATTTAAATGAGAAACCAATAGATTCCCTTCATAAAATCATTGGCTATTAAAATTTCTGAGCAGCCAAGATACAAGACTGGCATAAATTGCCTAATTATAAATATTCATTGGATTTATGAAGAGTATTATACGTATTGTACTCTTTTTTTTATTTTTGCCACATTTTTTTTTTCATTAAAACTTTTTTGACAAGGTTTTTAATGATGTAATGTACTGACGTATAGTAAAAAGATGAATATCCATGAAGGAGTGTTATAAAATAAAGGTAACTGTTTCACTTTGTTTTTATTGACCATAGCATGGATGTTACTTTTCTTTCTCTTAATGGATTATTTGCATTGAAATGCATTATAGGTATTCATTCTCCATTGGACAACCATTATTTCTCATTATCTCCCATTTTCTCTTATTTATATAACGGATGATTAATAATTCATTAAAACTTATTAGCACATTTATGCCTCCAACATTTACAACAAAAATTCTTTGTTGTATTATATGGTAGACATTATTTTGAGAGTTACAATTCCTTATTATATAAATAAGTCCACTTTATGTGAAAAATAAAGAAAAGCTAGAAGCTTTTTTCTTCTTTTGAGTGTTGTTCTTCCCATTCTTTGTATAGTTATTACTTTTTCTATTTTCTTATAACTTACAATAATATATACCCAATATTACCTAATTTTTTTCATTTTTTCTCTTTCATAGTCCTTACACAGTTATACTAATAACATGTTTGAGTTGATTAAAAGAAAGAAAGAAAGAAAGCAGAAAAGAGAAAAGAAGAAGAAATTTTTTTTTTTTTTTTGAATGTTAGAGGCAAGACTCGAACCTCACATCTCAAACTAGCATAAAAAGGTCTTTACAAAGGATTAGCAACTACTAGACCATAAGGTCCATCTCAAGAAGAAAAGATTTTTAAACTAACCAAATTACAACATTTTTATTTAAACATATGGTGAGAAAATCGAGAAGTTATCAATTTCACTTTTCCTTTTCTCTTTTTCCCTTTTGTTTGCTTAAGGTTAAACTCTTAATTTAGTTTCTTAACTATTGTATGAACTTTTAAATTGATTTTTAAATTAAAAAATGTTCAATTTAATCCTTAAAACTTTTCAATTTGATTTTAAATTAATCATTCTTTTAAAAAATAACTAACGTGTCAATTAATTGATAGCAAAAGATTGTTATTTAATATCCACATGTCATGTTAATAATAAGATATATCAATTATTTTTTGACAAATGAATTAATTTTGAGCCAAATTTAAAAATTTTAAAAATTAAATTAAAATTTTTTTTAATTTAACAACCAACTTAAAAATTTATACAATAGTTAAATACTAAATTGGGGTTTAACCTTTCCTTAGCCTTTCTTCCACGTTTTATTGCATCTTTTATGAGATTATGGTTTTCCTGTCCGTTATGCACGAGGGGTGCATTTTTTAATCTTTAATAAGAAGAAAGAAAATGATTGAGAGGCATGTGATTGCGTATTTGGATTTTGGACTGCTTTTCCACCTTACTTTTTTATACAATTATTCATAAAAATATTAATTTATTATGACTAAATTAATTTTATTAATATTT